AGTTCTGCTGGACAACGAAAACACCAAAGCCGTGTTCAGTGAGAAGTTGGCTAGGCAGTTATCGGAACAAAAGACTGTCACTCATCCAGAAGAAGCTTGGTGCCATCTTCAGTCTACTGTAAAAGCAGCACTGGAGACTGTAGCCGACTCCAAGATAATGGCTAAAAAGAGCCAGTGGATATCAGCAGCTTCTTCCAAACTAATGGATGCACGTGAATGCATCCCTGCAGGCTCTGAGTACAATGAAGAGCGAGCGCAACTTAAAAATAAACTGACGAAAAGTCTGCGCAACGATCGTGAACAGTGGTGGGCAGCAAAGGCTAAAGAGATGGAAAAGGCAGCGGCGATCGGTAACAGTAGACAGTTATTTAGACTTATTAAGGAGACTGGGGGGAAATGGTCAACAACAGTTAGTGAGGTTATAGCGGAGAAGGACGGATCGGCGATTCACTCGCAGGGAAGGCGACTGGGACGATGGGCAGAACACTTTGAGGAACAGTTTAACTGGCCTCCAGCCACCATTGCGCTGCCCGCTATCCAGTCGGACCCTGAATGGGACATAGAGACAGGTCCCCCAACACTAGAAGAAGTTGAGAAAGCGGTAGGTAGCCTGAAACGGGGAAGGGCAGCAGGACCAGACGGACTACCTGCTGAGGTATACAAGAATGGTGGTAGAGTTCTCTTAGTCAGGCTAACGGAAGTGTTAGCCAGTATATGGGAATCAAATACGATCCCCTCCGACTGGTCTAAGTCACTCATCATCCCAGTCTTCAAGAAAGGCGAGAAGTCCTCTTGTGATAACCACAGAGGAATCAGCCTGACAAACATAGTGTCTAAGATCCTAAGTTCTATAATTCTCCGACGCCTGAGTGGAGCTCGGGAACAGCAAGCCCGAGAAAACCAGGCAGGCTTTAGACCTGGCCGTGGATGTATCGACCAAATATTCACACTGCGCCAGGTCCTGGAACATAGGCATGCTTACAGACGCCCGACAATAGCTGTATTTCTCGACCTGAAGGCGGCATTTGACTCCGTTGATCGAGAAGTCTTATGGCAGTGTCTGTCACTGAAAGGCGTGCCTAGTAAGTACATCACCTTATTGAAAGCTCTCTACTCGAACACTTGTGGGCATGTTAGAGCCTATGGTGAGTTGTCCAGGGAGCTATACTCATCAAGTGGTGTCCGTCAAGGATGCCCACTATCCCCATTCTTATTTAATTTTATCATAGATATTCTTATGGAGGTTTCCCTCTCGTCACCTAATTACAAAGACGTTGACCGGATCACAGGTGAATTTTCCTTAGATCTAGAATATGCAGATGACATAGTCCTGTTAGGTGAAGACGCTGACAAGATGCAGAGTCTTCTGAACACTTTGAGTGGGAATTTGAGAATGTTTGGGATGCGATTTTCACCACCCAAATGCAAATTTTTGCTCCAGGACTGGTCTTCAGCGGTACCGCGGTTAACAATAGAGAGTGAAGTGGTTGAGTGTGTTGACCACTTCACTTACCTGGGAAGTAGGATCAACCCGGTGGGTTAGTTGCCGATGAGATTTCTGCACGGATACAAAAGGCTCGATTGGCTTTTGCCAATTTGCGCCACCTATGGCGCCGCCGTGATATTCGTTTGTCTATTAAGGGTCGCGTGTACTGCACAGCAGTCCGCTCTGTTCTACTGTATGGCTGTGAAACATGGCCATTGAAAGTGGAAGACATGAGAAGGTTACAGGTATTTGACCACCGTTGCCTTCGTAGTATAGGACGTATTCCGTGGTGTCACCATGTGAGTAATGCAGAAGTTAGGTGTAGAGTTTTAGGGAGAAGAGGTAAGTCAGTCGACGAGGTTGTGAACCTTCATCGACTGAGATGGTTGGGACACGTACTACGTATGCCTAGTCACCGATTGCCTCGTCACACAATGTTGGCTGAGGTGGGTTCAGGCTGGAAAAAGGCCCGAGGTGGCCAGACTAAAACATGGCACCAATGTATGAAGTCTCTGACTGTTGGTTTAAGCCATGTAGGACGATGCAGACTAGGTGGTTGGGGTCCACGGGACAAGAGGAACCAGTGGTTGGAGACCCTAGGTGATATGGCTCAGAACCGAAGTCAGTGGCGCAGATGTATACACACATTATCCTCATCTTAACAACGCTATACCGAATCTCACTATTTTGTCACTCCTCTTTCCTTTCTTCTCGTACTTTATATTTCTTTTGACTGCATTCACTTATCTTCATCCTTCACCTCACTACCTTTTTACTTGATGTGCTGATATGAGGTGTGGCAACTCGGACCGTTACGCAGTAATGCCTGGTCCTATGTTGATAATGATGATGATGATGATGATGATGATGAAAGCCAGACAGATAGAGAAAGCGTCAGCATTAGGTAACACCCAGCAACTAGTTAGACTTATAAAGGATTCCGTCAAGAAGAAAACGATGGTTAGTGAAACCATCAAAGAAAAGGGTGGGACGCTGACAACCTGTCAGGATAAACGTCTAAAAGGTTGGGCAGAACACCTTGAAGGACAGTCCAATAAGTCAATAGTAACCTTTCAGTTGCCCAGCATCTGGCCTCAACCTGAATGGGACGTAGATTTCCGTCTTCCAGCTAATGTCAAAATGGAGAAAGGTGTTTCCAACCTGAAACGATGTAAAGCAGCAGGACCTGACAGTTGGCTAACAGAATTTTTTTAAGGATGGAGGTAGAAATTCGCTAATTAAAGTGACGGGGAGAGAGAGAGAGCTAATCAAGATCCTTTGATCCGTTAAGACAGTAAACATAAGTAAGTACCACGAGCCGGACACAGTGCATAATTTTCTTGACACTGGGTGAATTGATGTCCCAGGAATAGCCTACAGTCGGCTCTTTCCTGACTGCAGTAAAGGGAGTTGTAGACGGTATCTTTTTTTTTACAGAAACTGCTTTTAGAAGACTTTAACGACTACAAAACTAGCCGAATCGACAGGATAACCTCTGCTTATAGCCAAAAACAGATTTTATACAGCTGCACTCTCATTCAAAAGTAAAATTAGCAATAAGATTTTAAAACTTGACTCAATTTAGTTTTTATGCTTTATTCTTTTCATATCAGACATAAGAAGTGAAGGTGTTTATTCACAATGAGATTGACCTTTCTTAACATGTAACAGAGTGAGGTGAAATTGGAACATCAGAACACTATGTGTTTGCATTTCGAAATAAAAATCTTATCTTTTGACGTTTAAATTCTAGTAGTTAGCTACGACTTTGTTGGAATTTTCTTAAGGCATGTTCTAATAGTTTCAATGTCAAGCCACGTTCAACTAAATGACACTGTACACCCAACCGAGAAATATCATTGATATTGCGTTCCTCATCATCGAAAAACAACATATCTGTATAAGCTATACCAGATAGTTCATGAAATCTGTAAGAAAAAAGTAGAGGGAAGTTGAGTAATATTGTTTTGAAAGTTAGCAAGAGCACAGTGATTCTTAGGGTTCAAAAAAATGATCAGCAACATGATGATTTTAACTTTCTTATTCAACAAGCCACCGAGAAATGGACGAAGATAAAGTATCACCATATACAACAGTATCCGCATGAGCTGCTACATCAAACATAACTATCCGAGCTTTAACAACCAGTCTCATGCATCTGGTATGCTAAATTGATCGACTACACCATGAAGTATTCCACACACTAAATTAGGCTAAGATGCAGTAGTTGAAGTGAGTTCGTTCAGTGAAACTTTCTGGAAACCTAAAGTTTATGGAATGATTAATGAAAATATTTAAACTTGGCAATCACATGCAGGTTCGTGTATTGCACTATGATTTATACCAATTTTGTGGGATAGAATATATAAGCCTGTAGTTTACAGAGTAGTGGTGAGACCCATAAGCCACAGAAAAAAGAAACTTGAAGCCCAGTTAGTGAAACAAGTTATGCTACATTACAGTATTCTGCATACTGATCACTACACATAAATATATGAATGACTAACTATTTACCGACGTCATCCATACTTTACACCACCCAGTTTTACTGAAAATAAAACACTCTAAGAACTAATATATCCCATAAGAAAAGAATTTGGGGGTATGAAAGAGAGCAGTAATATACATCTTAACATTTGAAGACCCCTTAGTTACGTAGAAAATTTCGAAAAGTAAAATAGCAGCTACCTATAGATGCTTTAAACAGATGTATGATAACTAGCCACAATAATTTGCTAGTCAAGCCTATATAAAAATGGGACTTAACATTACTGAGTTGCCACAACTCACATCAAAATACAATGCAACAAGATGAATGACAAAGAAATAGAAGAAAAATAATCAATATTTTTGGAAAGTTATAGGGTCAGGGGATAAAGCCAAAATAGCGAAATATAACGTAATGACTAGGATGAAGATATGTGGGCACATCTATGCCACTGAAAATGATTGAGCCAAATCGCTTACGGCCTGCAACTGTCGATTTCGGATGTCACATAGACTTCAACCTGGAAGTTTATACTTTTCTATACGGTTCAAACCAATTGTCAGACTTCATGGACTGATGCTGCGTTATATTTTGGCTGATACGTAGGCAGCCAATAGAGTTGTTTTCAAATCATGGATCAGATCGTATTCAGATCATGATTTGTACATGCACTTACATGATTACCTGATTGGACGAATTCAACGTCATACAAATAATCCGATTGGTTTATTTATGGCTTCATTTTCTGACAGTTTTGTATATATATTTATCATGTATTTGTCTACTAAAGTTGTCGTTGTTCTGCAGTCACAGTGAGGTATAGGGTGCGGCGTAGAACAGTCGTATTACTCATATCTAGTGCAAGTATCTCGTTCGCGTATTATTAAGACCCATGTCATATCCCCAACTTGCAGTCGTATCATTGGCCACCTTCGACCTTTCGCCAACGTAATCCTACTTTCAGCGAACCTAGAACATCGGAAGAGACGGTAACTAGACATGATAGACAAACTCAACGTAGAATCTTGTAAACACAATACTACTGGAAGTGTGCAGGCGGTTGACACTTCCCAGCTGCATACACCGTGGGAGGATATTTCTTCTTAAGGTGTCTGAGAGAGAAAGTGATAGGCGTGACTGCAGATCCCATGGGACATCTGCTTGAGGCCTGTAATACACAGCATCTTCATGACTTTTGGTGTGCGACTTGATTGTTCTGAAGCCAGATAGAGAAAGCCCATACCACCGGCACCAGAAGACCATGAGGCAAGGAGGAATGTGTTGTTTGGGAAGCCAACCTTTTCTGTTTCAACCTTCTCATGGGGAAGGAAGCACCAACGTAGCACTGCTGGTTATCTAAGGGAAACACCTTAATGCTGTCACACCACACCCGGCTAGCAGCAGTACGACTTCACCCTCGGACCCCCGCCATAATGCAGCAAGTCATACTACAACGGTAACTGCTTTTCGTCGTACCACTATCCAACAAACCTTTCTGGCATTGTAGGAACTCGAGAGAAGAAGCGTTCCAGCCAGTGTAGCTCGTCGGGTCATTGTGATATACAAACTCAACAACTGTGTCAAGGTAGCAGCTTTCGGTCGAGTAACCAGGCATCCATAACATGGCCCAGACACCTGAGACTATGGAAGCTCACAGCTCCAAATGACTTGTTCATTTTACCTAAAACTCTGTGCCTTACCTCTGAGTTACTAACTTGGTGATTGGAAGTCTGGAAACAGCAAAAATGAATTATTTTCACTTATAACTGCATATCTGCTGGATATTTATGGTACACAGTGGAAGTTACAACTAACTAAATGAATAATGAAGAACTTCGTATCGGTATCTTGAGAAGTATGCAACCTGGCTTCTCATACAGTTTAAGTAAGAGTCTAATGCCAGTCGACTAGTATCAACATAAGATGTTCCATTGAAGGCGCAACGGGTCCAATTGCCATGCTTCACGTTAGCATATCAAAATAAATGACAAAAGACAAATGAATGCAAATAGTGTTACCAATAACTGTATCTAGTTACCCACGAAAAGAAGAGAGAATAAAGGAAATAACGAAATGTGACTTAACGGTTTAGATGAACATAAGGCGCAGATATATGAACGCCAGTGTGATTGATCCTTCATCATATCATCTCTGGAGTATATAATCATCGGAATAAAATATAAATGAATGACGTACCTTTTGAAGTGAGAGATTTTAGACCCTGGATAAATTTCTGTATAGTCGAACAGATTTGACCAACCAAGAATCCGTAGAAGTTGTTGAGCAACGTTGATCGCAGAAGTTCTGACAAGTGAGAGAAAAAAACAGGAGATATTTAGTTTCCTTAAGAAATTCTTTTGAATTAAACGAAAGTGCGATTACTTAATCTCTCGAGGTTAAATTATAGTTACACAATAGCCACATGTCGATCAGATGTGCAGAATTTGCGAGACCAAATGATATCTAGCCATTTTCATATTATTGTTTGTATATAGTGAAGTTCAGATGTGCGGGATGAGGAATCAATCCGTTGGGTGTTGTGTACAGCTGTAGGTTGATGAGGCTACAAATTTGCGTTAACTTAGGTGGTTGGAAGGTGCGTTCGTACACTGAACCACATATTGCTTTAACACAGTTTGAGTTGACGCATGAGTTATATGAAAGAAGTCTCAATCATCAGACAACAAATACCACTAAGAGTCATACGACAAATCCAAGGATCGACTTCTATACAGTACACCCATAAATGCCCCAAATCATTGTGAACTTGGGATGCCTTATTAATGCATATTGTTTATTACCCTACTCAATAACCGTTTAAACCATATAGGTTAGTTTATTCCCCACTACTGACAGTACTGTCTTTATTTTTTTGTATTTCTTCGTTGATTTTAGGTTGACTTAAAGTAATATATTTTGGACCGGTACACAACAATGGTGGGTTCTCAACTGCCTACGACTGAATGGCCGGACCATAACAGATGGAGTATATTCATATATTGTAATTTTCTTAGTGGTGGGTAGCAGTGGAATCAAGAATGTGCGTCTCGTCCAACTAGGGACTCGTCAGCTGGATATGCTTGTGCTTCAATGAATGTTGTTTCCATTGAGGCTCGAACCTAGTACCCATAGCTTCAAACATCACAGTGTTATATACTAGGTCAAATGACAACATAATGAATAATCAGGCAACATCGACCCATTCACCCAGGAGTCCATATGTCAACAGAGATCGATTAATCCGATCCAAAAGAATAACAGGAAGTTACAAGTACCAATAAATAATTATATTCATATATTTAGGTTGAAACGATATATTTTTATTTGGGACACAATATAAAAACTGCATTACCTGCTAGGTAACATTTCGTTTTCTGTTTGGGTAATGGGTTTCTAAGTTTCATTATTAAAGACAACATGATAAAATTAGCTTTAGATAATAATTTTCAGTCAACTATCAGACAAGCAAGATTTTTTGTGTCTTCTAATCCCTGAAGGCGAGGAAATCAGTGCTACGCTAATATGGCCCCGCACTAGTGATCAACGCAAACCTAAAGCATTACCCTTACTGTAGACAGCAAGCAGACAGATAAAATCAATGTAGAACTTGTACACAAGTGCATCAGTTTAAGTTGCCACACTTCACAGCAGCATGTAAAGAACAAGTGCATAGAAAAGACTGATATCAAACTAGATAAAGATGTGGGAGAAATTCAAAAATCCAGGTTAGTGAAAATGTTCAAGCTTTAGAAAACGTCAAAGAGTGAATACACCTTCGTCATTGTGAGTCTTTTAGCCATGTCGCCAAGGGTCTCTAACCACTGATTCCTATCATCTTAAGAAGCTTAACCAGGTAATCTACACACCTACACACATGGCCAAAACAAAGAGCCATAGACTTCATGGAAAGGTTCCAAGTCATAGTATGGCCACCCTGTGCAATGTCTCATAACTGTATAACAGGACAGAACGGACTGCAGCGCAGCTTACTCTACACTTAACAGCTAGTCGGATATTTCCCTAGTCAGCGCCAGAGATGACGCAAGTGAGCAAATGCCAAACGAACCTTCTGCATCCAAGCTGAGATTCCATCGAAAACCAGTCCTTTCGGGTTGACGCAACTCTCTTTGAGGATGCTACTCATATTATGATTATAGTCGTCTTTATTCAGGAATACGACTCCAGTTCCTTTATATGGTCTCGTTATAAGTAAATTCTGATCAGATTGCATTTTCCCCAGTGCTTCACAATGCGACTTACTAAGTGACTGAAGTGCAATCGTACTCCTGAATAAAGACGACTATAATCATAAAATGAGTAGTATCCTAGAAGATACTACAAAGTTTCAGAAATTGGTGAACGGGTGAGACCAAACTGAGAACATAAAGGAGTTTTTAAAAGCACTGAAGACACTACTAACCAGTGGCACAATCTCACCAGACACTTTCGAACGAATTAAGCCAGTACGTACTAAGATACCGAGAATGTATGGATTGCCTAAAATCCATAAACCTAACGTACCCGTATACCCAATCTTAGACATGTTCAATTCACCGTATCATGAAATAGCAAGATGGCTAGCAGATATACTGAAACTGCTACAACAAAAAGTAGCTAAATATAACTTCAAGGACACTTTCGAATTTATTTCAAAAGTCGAAGACAAGAACATCAGTAAGGAAACGATGATTTCGATGGATGTTACTTCCCTGTTTACCAGTGTTCATTTTCTAGAAACAATTGATTTCATTTTTAGTTTACTGCTAGATAACGAGATGGAGGTAGGTATTTTACCAGCAACCCTACGAGAGGTGCTTCTTCGTTGTACAATGGATGTACAATGCCAGTTTAACAAGGAAATCTACCGTCAGGTAGGTGTAGCAATGGGTTCACTATTAGGTCCTCTTCTAGCCGATATGTTTATGGCGAAATTGGAAAGTGGACCACTGCGTAGCAAGACTGATAAACCTTCTATTGTAGATACGTAGATGACACTTTCATTCTGTACGAAAATGATACTAATCCTGACATTCTTCTCGGTACATTCAATAGTGCTCATCCAGAAATCGAGTTCACATGTGAAACAGAGAAGGACGACTGTCTGCCATTTCTAGATGTTTTGCTATCAAGACGAACGGATGGCAGTGTCGGACGCAGTATTTATCATAAGAAATCATAGGTTGGTCAGAAAACACACTTCCGATCATTTGTCCCCCTTATGTACAAAAGGAATTTAGTCCGTACACTGAGATTTCGAGCCAGTAAGATTTGCACAGCTGATGCTTTGAACGATGAACCAAGAACAATAGAGAACTTATATGAGAACGGTTATCCTGAAAAGTTTGTAAAGACTGTAACAATGAAAGCAGTTGGAGAAAAGGGCCTTCAAGTGGTGCCGAAGAAACGATTGTATCTGACCTTAGCGTTCAAAGGAGATGCAGCTGCAGAAACACTGACATTGAAACTCAGAAATCTGATACAAAAAACCTTCTTTGCCGCCACACTGTTTGAAATTTACTACTCGCTGTATGATGCCAATGTAGTTGAAGGATAGGCTTCCGAATCTGGCCACATCTATGTCCATTTACAAATTTAACTGTTCCTTTGGGGATAGTTACATGGGCAGAACGACTCGGCAACCCACCATCGCTTCTTTGAGCACTATCCAGCATGGTTGGGCAAAGAAACAGTGAAATTCATCAATAGCTCAATATTCGCCCATCTAGTAGATACTGAGAATAAGATTGACAAAACCTCGGCATTTAATATTTACAAAGTCCCATCACAATACTCCAGGTTTGTGCGCTTCCGATTGTTAAGCATAGCAGAAGCCACAGCAATTAAAATTTTCAAACCCAATTTATGTAATCAGAAGATGCTTGTTCTTTCCCTTTCCCTCCCATGGTCTTCACCTTCAACCCAGACACAATTACAATGAATTCCTTCCCGGTCACCCGGATAAGTGAAAACATAAATATTATCTCTGTTTGTACTCTTTTCATTATCATTTTATTTTTCGCCCTTAGTCTCATAATTGATTAAGAATTTTAATATTTTATTGTCCAACCGCTATGTGACAATAATTTTATTTTCTTCTAGCCCTGCACACACAATTCACTCACACACCTACAAGGATTGACTACTGAGAATATATAGACTTTCCGAGATTTTGTTTTGTTATTATCACCTTCACTGTTATCTTCTAATCCATGCAACCGAATTAATTTAACCATGTCGATATCACATGACTGTTCTGAATAATTTGTAAATGTAAATCTAAAGCCTGACGAGGATTTACCGAAATTACGTATTCGCTCCAAACTCTGTTTTCTAATCATTAATGCAGAAATTCCCATTAAAACATTTAGTAAAACAAACAATGCGAGCGAAGAAATGTTTCTTTTCAATTAGCTCCTCATCAATAGCTCTACACTAATATACCACCTTTAAAACGTAAAATTACATACCAATCTAGTAGTGAGAGTTGTTTAACGAAAGGTTATCATTAAAAAAGACTGAAAAATAGGAAAGATATCGTTATACTTCCAGCAGACAAAGGACACACTACAATAGTCATGGACAAAGAAGACCATATCAAGAAGGCAGAGGAATTGCTCAAAAACAAAAATGTGTATCAACTACTTGAAACCAACCCTATCCAAAAGTTCGACAACCAGATCAATAAGACCTTAAACAAACTCTTCAAACCAGAGGAAATAACAAAGCAAGACAAATGACGCATAAAATCGAATGGACCTATCCTTCCTCGATTCTACGGCAGACCAAAACTACACAAACTCGATATCCCTCTACGACCAATAGTCTCACTTCCGGGAATCCCAACATACAACATATCAACTTTCGAGAAAACTGAAACACCTCGTCCAATCATGCGGACATTCTATCAAGTCACCAACAGAATTCTTAGAAAAGATCAAAAATACTAACATAGAAAAAGATGAGTTAATGATATCCTTCGATGTTACAGCACTATACACATCCATCGAACCTCAATTGACCAAGGAAACGATATCCCTCCTGATCAATGAAGATAAAAACCTTTCAGAACGCACAAAACTCAAATGTTCAAGTCTGATGGAACTCATCGACCTTTGTATGACAACATACTTCCAATTCAACGGCAAGATATACAAACAGATGAAAGGAACTCCAATGGGATTACCGATATCCGGATTAATAGCAGAAGCAGTGATGCAGAGACTGGAAGCCATTATTCTACCTGTGATCAAACCAAAAATTTGGATTCGTTATATAGACGACACTTTTGTCATCATTAAAAAGGCTGATATAGAAAACACCCACAGTTTGATCAACAACGTTTTCAATGACATCAAATTCACAATGGAGAAAAAGTCAAACAACCATCTACCATTCCTGGATGTTTTAGTCAGCAGGACAAATGCCGGAAAGCTGGAAACCCAAGTGTACAGGAAGCCAACACACACTGATCAAATCCTTAACTACAATAGCAACAACCCAACAACACACAAAATCAGTTGCATGCAGACTCTATTCAAAAGAGAGAGAACACACTGCAGCACAACAACTTCACGGAGAAACGAAGAAAATTACCTGATGTCCACCCTAAAGAAGAACGGCTACCCACGAAACTTTATCAGAAGATGCCTATCACCAACTACAAAGTCATCGACAGAAATCAACAAACGCATCGTCCTACCATACATAAAGAATATATCAGAAATCACAACAAGATTGCTGAGACCACTTGGAATTGGTGTGGCTCATAAACCAACAAATTCCCTCCAAACACTATTATGCAGACCAAAGGATGCAACAAACAAAGAAGACAAACCGAGTATCATTTACAAAATCAACTGCAATAACTGTAGTCAGCACTACATTCGACAAAGCGGCCGCCCTCTTCGCCTTCGTCTACATGAGCACCAATTGGCTATTAAACGCCACGACATTTCATCACTCATTTCAATGATCGTGGATACTTATGGACATGAATTCAATTTCGACAATGTAGAAATTTTGGACAGAGGAAACACAAAGAATATCAGAGAATTTATAGAAGCTTGGCATTCAGGTCAGTCAGCAATCAATAGATGTATAGACATAGACCCGATCTATCAACCAATAAGAAAAATGATAAACCACAGAAAGGTCAGAGGTGAAGCAGAGGAACAGCCAACAGGAAAGTCTATACAATCAATGACACAACAATCGAAGGAAACAACCAATCACACACCACATCGTCAGAGCAAGCTACTAAATCACTCACGGAGAGATATTGACAGCTCACTTCATACTGAAGTTAGTGCTGATGATGTCGTCTAGCAAGGCGAAGAAAGCTTCACGATTAAACAACCCAGCTCAGAGAACACAATACAACGAAGAAGGTCCAATATGAAAAGCATAATACCTACAGTTTCCAGGACGCCATTGTTCCTAAGACTACAATTTCGGGGTGGTATCAGCGAAATCGTGATACAGGGCTTAATAGATGGCATAAGAAGACCATTTAATGTCGCATTTTGCTGTGCATTCTACAGTGAGCCGATGATGACCACGCGAACTAAAGACAGACTACCTGACTTCTCTTCTATGTGCACTTACCAGTTCAACTGCTCCTATGGAGCCAGTTACATTGGACGTACAGTTGGCTAAGTCAATCGTCGAATCGCTGAGCACCACTCCTCATGGCTAAGTAAGGCACAAACTAGATCGATATGAAGCTCAATACTCTCGCATCCGACTGACACTGGCCGCCGAGTTAACATTCATAATCCCTCTAAAGTTATTTATCACATTCCTTCTAACCTCCCTCAATGCTCTACGAGTTCGCCTTTTACATACAGCAAAAGCCATAATAATTCATCTGAACAAATCAAGTCTGTGTTCAGAAGAAATTCGCATAGTCTCCTTCTTCGCCTTGGCCATCTGTATAGCTTATTACAACAAGACCCTTCATTTCATTCATCCCACAATTGATTACAACTAGTATTTTAATAGCTATATTATTGTTATCATTATTATTATTATTATCATCATCACTATTATTATTATTATTATTATTATTGCTATTATTATTACAGTCCTAGTCATCTTGTTCTCCCCCTACTGTCTCTAATTATCGTCAAAAATTTACCACTTTACGTAACAATTCATTTTCACTCTTTAGTTACCACTGTACAAAATATCAATCATGTAAGAACCTGTTTAAAATTTCAAAAAATCTTCCTACTATAATTAGTCTATGCTTTAGTCTATTGTCTTAATTACCTGATCAATTATCACCTTCTTGATACTCTGAGATTGATAACCTTTCATTAAACAACTCTCAGCACTAGATTGGTATGTAATTTTAAGTTGTGAAAATGTTATATTAGTGCAGAGCTATTGATGAGGAACTAACTGAAAAGAAATATTTCTTCGCTCACATTGTTCTAATTATCACATTGGGAATATTTAAATTAATTTCAAGGATATTAACCGACCCAGTGGTGTCATAAAACAGGGTAAAGCGAAGGAAAACAATCATTTTTTAGCGTCGGTGAATGTTTTGTGTTTGTAAACACTAAAAGTAAAACTAATTGTTTGCGTTTAAACTTGATAGCTTAACGCCTAATTTCAATATTTCAACTCTAAATACTAATTTTCACCGAACAGCCATGACTGTACCGCTTACGTCCTTGAGAAAGCTCTCATTCTTCACGTTAATAAATACATCCTAGGAAAATTCGCATTATGTTATCCACTATGAGGATTGTAAGAATTTCCAAAGCTTTTGGTAGCCAAATCAGCAATACAGTATCTGATTTTTGAGTCTGTTTCAAAGCACCGTTTTTCTAATCTGCCTCGTTTACTATATTTAAAAAAATCAATATGTCGAGTTGAGGGATCTCCTATACTTCATCAAGTTTAACACGACATTATTGTTCTACAGCTGATATTTTCCTACACATCCATAGCAAATAAGAGGAACAAATGGTAAACCAAACGAAACAGAAGGAGACCACCTACTTAAGTTGATAGGTATATACCTCCAGATCTACTGAAAAGCTATACCAGCTTTGTTGCTACATCTGTGATTAGAACTAAATTCTAGTGAAACACATCAATAACTCTAACCTGAAACAATCTTATTACACATAAATGCTTCGTTTGAATGATAAAAACATCCAATTGTGGTTGTATGTAGCCAGTAAGTAATTTCCGAACAATATAGACTCCGAAAAACTAAACCTGTCATTATAAAAAGTATGCAACTTCGAAAACTATGATCTCAGTTGTATAAAGCTGAACTTCTGTCGCATCTGCGTAAGTCCAGAAATAAAAGAAATTGAGCCAGTTACCTTCAATCAACAGCAAAACATAACCCTCACCAAGTCAAATCCGTGTTTATGTCAAAATGTGGACATTAGTAACCCCATTAGTTTACAGGTATAAGACCAAAGGAAGTCAACCTTCAATTTTCGAATCAACGATGATATATAACATGACTTGCAATGACGCAACCTCGGTAAATCGAAATATTTCAAGTGAAAATCCCTCACAAACATTGAGTAAAAACAGATAGCTCAACTTGTTGGTCGAATAGTCTCGAGTACTTCACACGGTAAGCAAATTATTTCGGGCCAACTCTGCTACGAAAAGTGGAGTAAATCAGAAACTCAGTAATACACTGAGTCAAACCTCATAGACACGGAATCGCTTCACAAGATTATGGTTACTAAGACTGAAATTGCTCTGAATTACTGCGACCTAATATAAATAAGGTTAAGCCCTGTGATTCTAACGACAATGTTGGTGATACATTTCCAAACCTAAATAGTTTGCTCTTACTGCTCATCGATAACTAAATGAAATACAAGTACTCCACATTCCTGCACTGTACGATCTCAGAAGATTTACCTTGAGGAACTGAATAAACGATGTGAAATCTACGTTTAGAAGGTATTCCTGAAACAGACTGCTAGCGGACAAGTGTTGTCTTTTTTTATTTCCATGCCATACGAAACAACAAACCCGTCGCATTCAACGACAGTACTAACACACTATCCTAAAATGAACCATGAACCTGTGAAGAGCAGTCAGTACTGACCGAAAGATATCTAGCTACCACTTAGGTAGTGCTGTTAAACCATTTTGACTGATCTTACTATACGTTCCCATAATCTTCAAGTAAGCGTCACGTATAGTGTCCATCAACGTCGTCTACACACTTTTTGAAGCTTAGGTTTCGTTCTGAACAACCAGTCACTTTCACACTACTCAAAGACGAGCAACTTTCAAATAATCTAGATTTAATGTGGTTGAACATATTGAAAGCAGTCTCCAAGTATACCCTGAATCTAAAACTTTGTTTGAAAAAGTACAAAACTTCATAAGTGAACAAGTTGTTTTGAAAATAACAAGATTGAGGGAATTTTTCTACATAAACCCCGTCAGAGATAAATTGGCTTTATATGAAGACCGAAATTCTCATATTAACCAAAAACAGCCGTTCGAAATTCCAACCATTCATAAAACATGCATTAAATTCTTACCGAGAAGCGCAGGCAAGTTTGATCACTGGAGATTCACTGATTATTCTTAAGGAAAAATAACATTAGATGACGTCCCAACCTTAAAATCTTCTCCGAATCTGGATATACATCCACTCGCCTCTCGTTGACATCATATATAACATTATTTCTGACAAGTATTTTACATTAGGTGCTTACTTTCGAATAAAAGGGGGTGACACATGAGTGTCACACCATAGTGGCCAGAGAGTGAAGTCTAGAAGTGAACGCTACCTAGTTAAGGTTCTCATACCAAGATCGAATACGATAAGTCTAGGCAAACAGGAAAAGGCAGCTAAGAAATCCCTAGATGCCATTCCCGTTACGGGAGCGAACAAAGCCAAAACTACCGCCCAGTAGTACAAAATCCAACATAGGTAATAAAAACATGTGCAAACAAAATGATTTCTTTGCTTTCCTTTCCCACTGCAAATATTAGGTGGGTTCAGAAGTGGCAGACCTACTCACTCGATTCCTGTATCTCCAGTAAACTTGCTGGGTGGTTAGGTATTAGTTAAATTTGTAGGGAAGTATGTGATTTGTTCAAATGGTTGTTGACGAAATACACGAAGCTTTTGCTTTATTGGCTTCCAAGTCTAAAATTCGTGGACCATTACTTCTTGCAGTCGCTAACCTGCGTATAAGTAAAGAAAGACGACAAAGTGGTGGTTACAATGTGAAAATTCATTTAGTTCTTGCTAGATCCCAGCCGCATTCTTATTAGGTATCCAGTCGGCGTTTAAACGATTCAGATGAAGTGGCCTGGATCACGCCTGCCAGAAGACCATTGCGGGGTTCAAAAACTCCCATGGAGTAGAACTTGTGCCTGACATCCAACCTGCTATGTTCCAGGCTTAGTTTCTGTGTGTATCCTCTACGATTAGTGCTACAGCTAAAACTTAATAAGTGATGGAATGGGTATCCAGTCGTGTTCAGAATGTTGTGAGCGATTATCAAGTCTCCTCTTAGCCTTCTGTATTCCAGAGGATGCGGATCCAGCGCAAACAGTCGTTATTCATGTGTTTTAGACCTGAGTCTCCTAACATATTTTGTCGAGAGCCTCTGGATCCATTCTAATCTTGGGTTGCCCTTCTAGGGAGAAGGGGGGGGGGGGAAGGCGATTATCCCGAACTCCAGTTGAGGCCATGTGAAGCCGTTGAAAATTTAGTGGAAGCATCTACTATCAAAATGTCCCAAAATTCATCTGAGAGTTACTAACCCCAAGTTTCCACGATATGTGTTTCTGCCACAGTCGGCAGAGGGCTTTAAGTCTTGAGGGACTAGGACACCCAAATCCTTTTCTTTCAGGGATGCTTCAGGTCCCATGCCTTTGAGGGTGTATACATGAGATGCACCTTGTTTTACGTGCATAACCTTGCATTTCTCAGGATTAAATGCCAGCTCATTGTTGGCTGCCCAGTTATGAAGTTGAGTTAGGTCTTCCTGTAGAGGAACACTGTTTTCTTCACTTCTGACTTCTTTCTAGAGTTTCACATCATCGGCAAAAGGATGGGTTTCGGAAGAAACCTGTTGAGACAAGTCGTTTGTATATATTAGAAAAAGAAGAGACCCTAATACTGAACCTTGAGGAACGCCACTAGGGCATTCTGTCTCTTCACACATAGAGAAACTCACTATAGTCCTAAATGGACGGCATCGTGAATATGGGCGGTGGTCAACTTCCGATTAATTTCAGTTTATCAGTAAGGCAGTCGTGATTAACGTGATCTAATGCCTTGGCAAAGTCCAGGTAATTAAAATAAATTCGTCCTCGACAGTCAACAATGCTTGTCCATCCATCTACTGCAGTGAGCAGATTAGTAGTGTAAGAGTACCCTTAACGAAATCCATGTTTTTGAGGCTCACGGCATATGACCTTTGTGAGGCAATCCCTCAGTCCATCGTAGATTAACGATTTCCTTACTTTGGAAGGTATGGGCAGAAGCGTCACTGGTCTGTATCTCTTTGGATTGCTCGTTGACCCCCTTTGAAGATTGGTGTTGTGTGACGCAGCTTCCAAGAGATGGGCACTATTCCCCTACTCAGAGAATCCTGAAATAACTTGCTTAGAGGTTCGAGCAAAATTGAAGCTCCTTCTTGCATTACCTCTAGATAGATTTTATCTGGTCCCGAAGAAGTGTCTTCGATGAGCAGTAGCAGTTTGCGCTGTACTAGTTCAACGCTTAGGTCAACGACCAAGAGTCTAACTTCGTTAGTGGGATATTCGTACGTCCCTGAGTAGGTGGGCAGGTAGGTAGATGCTGGCCGGCTAGGAGCTCAGCTACTTCAATGTCGCTATCAGGCAGTTCATTCGCACCTCATGGTTGGGAGATTACCGCTGAAACGAAGCAGCGTATCGAAACAGACCCCTTGGGTCGGAAACAAACATGTTTGCAAGCCTGACTTCATGCCGCTGCCAGTCGGCTCTCGATGCCTTCCTACATACGTTTTTTGTCTGTAGGTTCGGTGCCAGTCCTTTTTTGTTCAACCCAGTAGTGTCTCTTTAACCTAAGTGGTTCGTGAGCATAGTTCCTCATTATCTTAGGTAACCTGAAGCACTTCGGTCTTCAAAGTGAAACAGACCGACTGACTGCATGTATGATATTGTCAAGCATGAACCTCCAATGGGTGTTCACATCCTGCCATACATTGTTAACTTTCCAATCTACCTGTTCTAGTGCGATCCGAAGGGCTGGGGTGCCAAGTCATCTGAAGTTCCAACGACGCTCATTGAAAGGTCCGATCCTATTGGTTTCGCAGACGAGCTGGGAGTCGATAACAACGTGGTCACTCCTGCCCAAAGGAGGAAGGATTACTAGGTTGTCAGTCAGGAATTCTTCATTTTAGAGATGCAGTCTAAGCGAGGTGGGGTATAGGCCTCCTTCGCTCGCTTTACCGTTCTCACATTTTTCGCAAGCCCCAGATCCCCAAACGATTGGAAGAATCGGGCTTCAGTGGAATCGGCACTCCCTCTAAACGTGTGATCTGCAAAGTTGACCTTCGGTAGGTTAAAGTCGCATAAAATTAGTATGTGTGCACGCCCCGGTCCAAGAGAGTAGCCGATTGCCTCCAGCATCTGGTCATCACACCGTAAGTCAGCGGACGGCTTCCTATAAGTGACTCCCACCAAGCACTCTACAGCTGTAGGGTGCACCAGATAGACTCCTTGAGGTATTCCAGCTCAGGAGTATGGGTTTGGTGAGCGGAGAGAGAGAGGAGGTGACATGAAGCGCAGCCCTCCCCAACTGGCCTTCCTATCTTTGCGAAACAGCATGGTATTGGCAATTGCCAGCTCCCGATTTGATATGTCAGGAGAAACTCATGTCTCAGTAACACCAACAAGGTGAGCATAAATGTTTTTACTTAGTTCCCGTAGTTCGTCTAGTTTGTTCGGTAAAGTTTGTGCATTCGTACAGATGCAATTTGTGCCATCCACTTGGAATGCGTTTCCTGAACCCCCTTTATTCTCCAATTGCCTGGCTGAATCCTCAGGCATGGGAGCTGTGAACGCACTTAAGTACTGCCCAACAGCGCAATGTTCCCCATCCATCCCCCGTTTTTCGCATCTAAGCAGTCTTCCAGAGATACAACTAGCTCCAGTTTTTTCTGTTTTCGTTGCAGCTTCTCGTTCTGGGGCTCATCAGGCCACATGCGGACTAGAGATAGCAGGTGATTTCTTTTCGCCCAGAATGCCCCCAGCGTGGATGCTGTTATTTGAGAGGCCGGAAAGATCACTTCGATCTGCCTTGGTTTGGGGTCATCGTCTTTCTTAGGGATCCATGAAATGGTTTGGGCTATTACTCCCCTGTAACCTTTCGCATCTATGAAGAATGTTTGACCGCTTCTTACGGGGCATGCAACCAGTTGGCAGCGAAAAGTGGTACGATAATGATAAACCTTAATAAAAGTTTCATGTCCCCCTTAAAATGCGATACCCTGGAGTAAAGCGTTTGAAAGATGAAAGGCTGGCACATAACCATGCATATTAAGCAGTTATGTATGGTTTCTGAACGTTCAGAAAACTTAAAAATTCTACCTGAACTTGCTTTTCGACATGCGTAAGATAGCAGTGCATCTGATTTGCTTGATGGTTTATTGATAAATCCAGCATTCGGGTCTTCTATCAGTTGGCCATTATGAGTTATAGAGCGGCAGTTGGGCGTTGATTTAGAGCTGAGCCGCCAGTACTCACTACTTAGGACATCCTACATGACGGTGACGCCAAAGGGCAGGTTGACGATTTAGTGATGCCTAGTTCCAGCATGTAGTCAAACTTGCCTTTCATCGTTCTGAGCCTATCAGGTGCCAAATGGCGTGCTTTCGATGCCACAGGCGAACCTGAGGTCGCGATATGATCATTAAAATTGCCGGTTATGCATGGTAGAGTATGCGTCAGTTTTCTCGATCCCGGATATTTTTCCGGCAATGTCTGATAGGAAGAGTAAACTGGCAGTCTCGTTTTAACTATGACTGAAATTGGACCTATGTGAGCAGTTCCACCAGTGGGTAACTTCATGTTGCCATCTATCAGTCGTCATCGACAAGCTCCTACGAGTAGATCGCAACGGTCCATCAAGTTCCTACCAATTATGGGCATGGAAACATGAACTCAATGAAATATCCTGTGGATAGGTCCACGCAAACTCAAGCTGAGATAGGTAAAGTTTTTCCAAAGGTTAAAATCGTTTTCCCTTGGCTGCTTGGGGGTTGCAGGATGGTTGATGATAGCATTTGTTTGTGGCTGCAGGAAGAACGTCAACTTACGCACTGACGTTAACGAAGTCACGAACTTCCACTGTCACCTCAGTGACGTACAAGGAACGGCTTTTTCCGCCGGCTACGTGTGTCGTGGACGCGTGCTGGTGGGATAGTTTCTCGGTTTTGTACAGTCTTGGCAGACAGTACATGGCTCTGAACCATTACCGGCTTCTTCGCCGTAGGTGCTATGAACCCGTCACAATTTATAATTTTCGACCAGAGAAATTTAGTTGCTGGATGTCCAGATGGAATGCTGTGATGGAGTGGAGAAAGTAAGTGTTGTACATCACGACCTAGGGCTTCGGGTCCATAGAAGCTGCCTAACAGAACTGCATAGCTCTGTCGCTTCTGAATGCTGACTTAAGAGGTTTTTCGGTGGCAGAATATATTTTTTAAACAGGTTTGCCGGAGATTTATCTGTGGCTGCCAGGTTGTTGATAGAAACCGACTGAAGTGTCATTCGAAGGGTTTGCACTGGCTTTGGTAGTTTCAAAACGGACAATTCACTGAAAGACCATCGTCAAACATTCGCTTGTCAGTAAACTCTCCTATGCGTGTGGTCAAATGAGTAGCTGAACTGTTTCCCACCCCGACGTTATTTAGCAGCTCATCTAA